CCGTCAGATGACAGAGTCCGTGGGAAGACTCGAGGCGAATATTCAGGGCAGTTACTGCGTCGTAATTGTGTCAATGAGGAAGCCGTAGGCAGGTTTGCCGTCACTTGTCCACTCCTCTCCGAAGGTATATCGTATATCCCCTTGTCGTTGTGATATCTTTGTGTTCGCCGACCGACCAAAATCCTCAATGCAATTGCAATTACACGTCGACATTCAAGCATGATTGGCGATACCTCGAGTCATCAAATGACATGGAATATCTATCGAATCGCTACACGAGAACTGCCTTTGAAGCTGCTGGTAGCGCCAGTACCCGGTAGCAACACTTTCGACGTGACAAGAAGAGGGCATTCAAGTTTACGCTGGCAACAAACATGGTCGACGGCGTTCAACAACCAGATACGGAACAGTCCCACTACGGCGCGTTGTTGCAGCTCGGGGTAATGAACGGCGTCGAGATGGCTTCCGGCGCCGCGCCGAGACCACACGTGACTTTGGCCGCCAGCGCCTTGAACGTACCCACGCACGGGTCGACAAAGATGGCGTTCTCCGCCGGCACGTCGCACGAAGCCTGGCCCACGCAGAGCTTGGAGAGAACGTCAACACTCGACTTGGCGTTGCACCACCCGTTCGTGTACCCGTTGGGCGTGCCGTACGAGCCATAGTCGACCTTGGTAATGACGTAGCCGTTGGCGCACTCCAGCTTGAGCGTCTGGTGCTCCGCGACGCTGGCCCACGTCTGGTACGAGGGAGCAGCCGAGCACTCGGCCGTCACCGTGAGACGCTTGATAGTGCCCACGCACGGGTCGCCAAACACGCTACACAAATCCGAAACTTAATGACCTACTCCATCAAAGTAGCATCCGTACCCGTTGTTGGCGCCGACTGAGCATGACTGTTTATTGCGACAGCTGGACTCAAGGACATTCTGCGACGAGCCCGCGTAGCACCAGCCGTACTTGGCACCGAGTCCCGACCCATCGGGGAGACCGTACGAGGCAAAGATGATGCGCGAGATCTGGAGCGTGGGGTTGCCGCAGTCCAATGTCAGCGCGCCGTTTTCGGGGACGGTTTGCGTCAAGAGCGACGCGCCGGGGGACACGTAGAGCGCCGGTGTCGACGGGGCGGTCGGTGCCGGGGGCGGCGGCGGCGGCGAGGAGTTGCTGTTGCCCATGGTAGCTTTAGGTGGTGGCCGGTACGCGACAAATGGAATTGTGATCGAGGTCGGTGAGGGCCGACCTTTGTACTTTGACGGTCGCGACCAGTCGTGGGCCGATGCATGCATTGTCCAAGTCGAGGCAATCTTGGATGGTTTCTCGTATTTTTCGAGATATGCCGCTCTTGGTTCATGTATGAGTCGTTCAATTGTAGCACAAAACAAGGTGTTACGATCTTGAATGAGCGATTTTCCGGGAGCAGTGCGACTGGTCAACTGTTCCTGGTAGCGAGGTGAATCAACTTTCGAATGGGATCGTGCTTGTGTGCGGATGACGAGTGCATAGTAAGATGAGTTATGTTCTGATTGGCCTGTCGTCGTACTGAACACCCCTGCACCTGTCACGAGTAGTTCTCGGCTTCTGTCGTTGCCGATAAGCTGCCCTCGGTGTTTCGCCTGATGGCTGGACGCACGTGTGAGGTGACGACGGAGGTGACCTTTGACGCGCTCTGTGCAAACGATCTGCAGTTGGATCTCGCATCTGTCACCTCAACTACAAGTTCGATTTCACAATGGCGAGCTTGCTCACGGGGGCAAGGCTCGGTCGAAGCAATTTTCGACACGCGCAAGCATGACGTTTGACGTTGGTGACCAACTCGGTGAGTAAAGTGCAGTGGGCGACAGCGAGCCTCAGCTACAGCGCCGAGAAGCAAATCAACGTTGCCGTTGATGGGGCGCTGAGAGTTTTGTCTGCACGAGCTCGATTGCAGCATCGTGCAGGCAGCAGCGTACGTTTGCACCAACGGTCCATTGTACAGCGACGGTGTCTGCGTTGGCAAGTCATGAAGCAGCCGCGTCCAAGAATTCGCTATCGCAGGTGTCGTACGATGAGTTGCACTGTTGAGAATAACAACAAAGTGAGCAACTGTAATACATGTATTGGCAATATCGTTGTAGCTGTGCTGCGTATAGGAAGGAAACCTGCAAGACGACGGACCTGACGAAGTGATTGTGCGCAGCGCCGATCCGAGTGCAGCATATCCGCAGGAGCGGTGTGTCGACGCGGGCAACAGCAATTCGGACTTCAAGCAGACAAGCAGCTTCCTCCAATGCTACCACCTACAACTAGTGCTTTGGTACCGATGCCCACCAGACGGGGCATTTGTTCACGCCAACAAGTGGTCCGCAGGTGCGTGTTTACTGCAGTGTGTACCAGATGCAAACCACTGGCGACCCAGTAGCTAGGGCACCCCCGTCCTCAGCTGGCAGCCTGGGCTGCCCAGTGACTCAGAAAGCATTTTGGCAAATACCCTTATGTAGGGCTCAAAATGTTTGGTATCAACAAACCACCTGTAGGTGCGTGCGCACTGGGATCGCGCCAGCCGAGACGTGAGCAAGACGTTGATAAATTGAAACTATCGATACATAAAGGTCTGTCTCGAAAAAAGACTTTGATGGCGGTTCGATGCGTGTCAGCCTCCACTTTTTCATGCACGTGGAGTGATGAAAGTCGTATTTCCAGGCGCAGCAAGGAAGTTGAATTTTTGCTGTCCAGATAGACGCGATGAGTAGACAGTAGGCTAGCTAGCCTTTTGCATTGTCTTGACGCTGTTTACCCGCCATGCCATTCCTAATAACTAGCGGTCAGTCGAGTCATTTATTGCCCCACTCGAGCGTCTTCCATGGCGAAACGTCAAGATGAGTACACGAAAAGCGCACGGCCAAGACCTCATCTTCATGGCCAAACGCCACGGTGGTCTCGACCTCTCGCACGCGTATGACCTGTGGACCTCGCCGGTCTACGCTGGTTCGCTTCCTCAAGCACTGGTTAGCAAGCCCTCTCGTACTACCTGCATGGACCATGCCGGTGAACGACTACTGACCGCCGCATACCATCCGTGGGGCTCGTTTGGAGACCTTCTGCAAGCACAGCCGTCGCACCCGGTCATCAAGACCTTGCTCTCGGCCGACGCCATACCTTTAAGCGTCGCTCAAGATGTGGTACGAAATGGTAGTATCATTGTACACCGTTCCGAGTACGGCACCGACGATCAAGCAAGCGGCCCCATTCTGGATCAATGGTCATCTCAAGGGCACCACCACGATTGGCGTCAGGGCACAACGGCTGGAGGCGAATATGTGGCTACCTTGGCCCTCGCCGGATACACACATGTTCAAGATTTGGTCGCCCTCGGAAGGTCACCGGCCGATGTCGCCTTACAGCGCAACAATTTGCTGCCCTAATGTGCACCTGATCGATGGATACGACAACTCGCAGCAGTGGTCTGTCGAGTGGCTCAACTGGTGCCACAAGGTTCGACAGATCAGCTCCCGGCTGCAGATCCACCATGGCTCGTGCGGCTTGGCCCGGTGGTGCTGTTTCTTCTGCAAGCACCACAACACTTGGCAAGCTATCGCCCCAGACCACCTTTGATCGGCAACACCTACCATGCCGTCACCTCGAGGTCCCAGACGACTACTGCGCAAATGAAGCTCACGCGGCGGCTCTCGTTCCTCTCCGACTGCCAGAGAACGTACTGCCTCGATCTGGCGACTTCGTCTGGAGAGCGGCTCTAAGGGCGATAGCAGTGCGCAGCCTTCTTGGTTCCATCCGATCGTACTTGCTTCTTTTGCGCCGAGTCTATCGAATCGTACAAGCACTTGCTAGTCGAGTGCCGCGTCATCAAGACGTTGTAGAACGCGTTTACGCCTCTACGTCGCCGTCTTTAGATGCGTCTTCCGCGAACGTTAGTCGGCTATCTCTACTACGAGCCTGCAGCCTTGATATCCCACAAAAGATATCCCAACACCAATCCGCCATTGCGGTGCTATGGCCCATCTCACGCGCATGCGTCTGGGACACGCTATGGCTTGAGCGCAACAATAGAGTATTTCGCGCCACTCAGCTCGACGCCACCCGAGTCACTGGCCATCAAGGCAGCGGC